TATTCTTATCCTCAACCTCCGTCTCCACCACCACATAACCAAGGATCTAACGGTCCTGAATATCCACCTCCAAGTGGCAAAGGCTATTATTATCCTCAACCTCCATCTCCGCCACCACATACCGAAGGATCTTATGGTCCTGAACCTCCATCCCCACCACCAAATATTAAAGAATACTATAGTCTACAACCTCCATCTCTACTCCCGAATAACAAGGTATGCCAAAACTCTCAATCTCCGTATCCACCACTAAATAAAGATTCATATGGTTATCACCAACCGTCTTTACAACTGACTAAGAAAGACTATTATGACTCTCGATATCCATCTCTAACCACAGGATATTATGGTCTTGAACCACAATTTGCTCCACCAAATAACGAAGAATATTTTGATCCTGAATTATCATCTCGACTGTCACATGAGAAGGAACATTCCGATCGTCAGTCAACATCTCACAGTACTGAAGGACAGATTGGACATCATCAGCCATTTACGCCCAGCAAAGGATCGTACGGACTTCTGCCTCCATTTATAATTTCAAGAGATTTTGAAAATTATGAGATCAAACCTCAGTTTGTACTACTGCAGAACAAAGCTATTCCTCCTCCGTTTCGAGACACAAGTCTGGAAGATTCTGTGGATCCCTCTTTTCTGCAAGTATCTGTAGTTCCTTCAGTATCCTTCACAGTTCAGGATACGACTCAGTGTGGGGAACTTGGTGCTGTTCTGGAAGATCCCTTGACTCTGGTACGAAACTTGTCACGTGTCTCTGGAGCTTTTGGGGACAGCACTTTGAAGCCTGGGCCATCACATGACATCATTGCTCGCAGATAACACTGAGGTCACAGGTATATCACGCTGCCCTATTCTGTTGTTTACAAAATCAGATGAATGTCTTTGCGACTTTTTATGTGCAGTTGGCCTTGAAACAAATATGAATCTGTTTTCGAACAGTATGAGACTGCACGCAGAACGTATTTTTATTTTATTTTATTAAATATCAATATAATAGAAAGGTATTAAAAATAGACTCTGTAGAACTTGATTTTTGCCTAGGAAATTACGTATGTATTCATTTATCACATTTTACCTATTATAAACAATCTCATTAAATCTGTTGTTACTCCTACTCAATTGGTGTTCTTCAGTGACAGAATGTACAGGAACAAATAAAACAAATGTAATACCAAAACCAGACATTTTATTTATTCTACACTCGTACATCTGTTTTCCACTAAAATCGTCTTAAATGTCACCACAGCACAGATTTCTAGATAATTCAGTTGAGACATCGGAAATAATAAACGCCTGCACCACAGCATCTAGATTTCTGATTGAAAATGTCCAGAAGCCATGAAGTTGCTTGTAGTTCACTTACGACCAATTCATCACATTTCGTGAGCTGTTATTGTATGCAATGTGTTCTGCCTGTGCCACCTGTATTAAGCGAAGATTGCGACACGTGTTGAAATACGATACGAAAATATTTTTGTCAAGAAGAACAAATTAAATTACAGGAAGATATAAAAGAAATTTGACACTCCGTGACCTCAGTCTATTTATCACGGCCTGTGATATTGTTACTGTAATCGTGAAAGATGCTACAGCGTCCATACCTGACACTAGTTGGCGAAAGTTACGCAGATTCCTTGGGAAGTAATCATAGCAGGAAGGAAGCTCTTGCGGCTTCTGGTAGTGATGCATAACACACAACTGACAGGATAGAAAACGGGACTTCAGTTTCTCACGTTGGTTCATCTACCTGTGGAGCCTTATGGCAACAGAATCGTATCGAAACACTACGTACGACCACATTTTTGGTTTACATCTCCTTAGAGGGAGAACTCTTACAAAACGCTGATAAACTTTGAAATTCTGATACTCTGCTACACCCAGAATGAGCGATTATTGAAAGGAGACAGCACATGCTTCCGAAACGTCGGTAATCGTTACATATTGACATGGTATGTTTCTAAGAAAGCTTAATAAACCCTACATAGAAAAACGTGATGGACGCAGCAAGTCCTTCTAAAACTTCAATAATGTTTACCGTTTTTATACGGTGTTACAGCCCTTCTAGAGAAGCCAAAATACATTACTCCTGAACTTCTATAATCAGTATCATTTCAACACGATATATTACCCTGTAATTTATGCGAGAGTAACTCAGACGACAAAGACAGGCAGCAGCCAAAAGAGAAAGAGCTGATTCGCCTGCCACCTCTTATTGGAATATACAACTGCATAGAGGCAGGATCATTCAGTGCCTCTGGTAGTGTCGGGTGAACTTGTTCGTAAGTCAACTGAGAGATGGTGCTGTATACGGCTCAGGTGTGACGTCAAAGATGGACGCTGTAAATCGCAGAATTAAATGAGAGGAATGAATATTGCAGAGACGAAAGAAAGACATGCGATGATCGAAGCTAAAAATTAACTCATAACACAAAATGCGAGACATTGTCTTGAATAATGCCAAATTAAATAAAGGAGGTAATAAAGTGGAATGCAAATTAAATTGAGAAATCAGATGCTTTTAGAATTTCTGAGAGCGACAAATTAGAAGATCTGCATACAGGTGATGTGACGATGGTATTAAATACCAGCAATAATAATTTTAGTAATGTTTCTCCCAGATGCTTCACTAAGTATATCGCCCTGTAGACGTATGGCGGAGTGGAGGCATAGCTATATGCATTCTTAATCTGTGCATTAGATGGAACTGAGTTGCTTTCTAGCTTCAAGCACCGACCGCTTTATCCCCGACGAACTAAAAAATCCACTGCCAAATCTATAGGAGGCAGGATGGGCTGCAGAGATGGTCCAGACGCGGCAAAGATAAAATCTCATCCTGCCTGGGATCAAACCCCGGTCGTCGAGCCCGTAGCCTGGTTTTCTGCTGTGAACTAGTTTCTCTTACAGGCTGGCAATATTCTCGACTTAGTGACGTCACCATCAGCAGTAGATGCGCGGATTGTTCTGTCGTAGTGGTAATGCCTGATGGTTGCAAAAAATTCAAGTGAAGGTATGCATAATTTTACTGAACATTTTTAAAAACAAAATAAAAATTAAACTCCATGCTGCATGAGCTTTTTTAAACAATGTTGGTATTTACTCACCAGACCAAGAAATTCCCTGCTGTTATAAAATCCAAATGTTCATTGCCGCGTTTACAAAATCCCGCCATTGGACCCTTTGATAAGCCAGTTTAATCCAGTACAAACATTCACATCTTTTATGCTCACGCCCTATTTTTCCAATATAGTCATAAATATTATTTTCCCATCGAAACCGAGGCGTTAAAACCCAGAACATCATCTTCATCATCCTCACCGTGACAACCTCAAATCTTACATGATCATGATTAGTTCAGGTGAAGAAATTACGAAGCCTACATTTGCTGTATGGTTCTTCATCGTTGTTTCTACTTTCAAATTTCCGAATATTTTCCGTCCTTACTTTGTTCCCATATATTGTCAGTCTGTGTTTTCTCTTGTACTGATAGGCTTCAACCGGCCTCTAACCTCAGCCTTCCCCTGCAGGACGACAACGAGGAACAACGAGGAAGTGGTCGTCTGACGTGTGTCTGCCCTCGTGCTGGTCTGCGTTCTACCTTCGGACTGCCTAATCGTACGTCAGACCTTACTGTTGCAAGTCGTATTTATTGTAAAACGAAAAGCATCATTCATAAGGGGTCTTCAGATTCATGTGCTAAAGAGAACACTCGGAACTTGTGGCAGATTTGGAATGTGGTCTTGTGGATTGTACACAATTTAATTTATTCGTCGGCCGTATTTTTCCCCACACTCACCCCCTCTCACGGTACTACGTAATAGATGACTTTTACCAGCATTAATTATACACAATCGACAGTTCGTATCTAGGTTACAGAGGATTCGCTTTCAAGTGGAAGAAGATCTGTGGTGGGAATAAGTAAGGTGTGTTCATGTGTGGCTGATGAGACGCAGAGCATGGTCATCTTCCACCGCACGCACAAAAAAAAGAGCAAATGGTAAACCGATTTTAATTATATTTAACTTAGGAAAATTTTACGAAAAATTGCAATTTACATGTGGCAATTTAAACATCAATACATCAATACATTTTGGGCGAAAAAAGTTATGTAAACGGATTTATTTAGCGTGTTTGGAGAAACATTAAAAAAAACTGCATAACTTAAGTTTCGCTTACTTCGATAAACATTCACTGTTGTAATATGATTAAAATTAATCATTAAAATTAAAGGTGACTTCTTTCGTAATAATCCATTTCCTTCGCCTTATTTACTCCTTACACAAAAAATAACTAACGCCATTTTACTTTAAACGATCATTGCTTCTACCTGGTTACTGTTTCTAGGATCCGTTATCGTGTATTGATGACACACCAATCACATGAGGTAGACGTCATGATACTAGCTAGAAGCCAACCAATAATAGATTATCTCTGTGGAGAAGTGACGAAAGTGTCAAGAAACTATTTTAGCTCGAAAGCGATTAATCTTAATCAAAAGCAAAAATAGCGTATTTATAGTTGTAACAGCGCTTATGGCATCAAATTTCGTTGAAATCGGCCCGCATTCTTTCTGGAAGTTCTCAGTAGATATGTTTATCCGATTGCATACCAGCAGTCACCAACTATAACCTTTTTCTTCTTTTCTATATTTATTGTGTTAATTTCTCTTTTCTTTTCCTTCCTTTCTTCCTTTAACATCACGAGCTATCGTTAGGCGCGTTCAGGCGCCTAAATTTTGAGTATAAACGTGTGTAGTAACTTATCTCCCTTTCACGCATTGGCCGCTTTGCTTCGGGGTGAAGCTCCCCGCATACTAATTGAATGGGAGGCTGTGGTCCTGAATATAAAAATCTTTGCCTCTACCGAGAACCAAACTCTGGCTCTGAAGCCCTTCTCGTCTTCAATGCAAATGGTACCGGGGATTCTTACCTTGTGGTTAAAGCGGTCACTCACCTCAGTCGTCACAAGTATTGCTGAAATAACAAATTCTGGGACGAAGAGATCACAGACTCCCGAAGAAATTAGATCAGCTTCAGCATTATGATTATGATGATGACGTTAGATTTTGGCATCGCGTATTATACGTGTTATAGATGGCTCACACATGCAAATACTAAGTCTGGCTGAAAATGTTTCGTGTAGAACCTACATATACTAGCTGAATAATATTGTTTCGAAGATGTAATATGGTTTACAAACAAGTAGAGAGACATGGCCTGTCCATTGTACGTAAATTACATGTACTGGAAGCAAATAAGATATAAAAAGCATAGACGTAAGTCTGTTGGAATATACGTTGAGAACATGCAGCTAATCAGACTTGATACATAACAATACGCCTTTCCTGTTTCCTGCAAAACAATGCAATGGGTTCTGACAGTTCAAGGTGTGAGATCATGGGTGGACAACTATTGCCCGCAGACCGAAAGTGGTCCACGTGAAGGTATGACGTCGGATATGCCCTGTACGAATGTTTGTTTACTTCGCCGCGCATAATGTGAGGAACAAGCCAGATGTTGAAAGCAGTACGAGTACCTATCATAATACGTAGAATCTGAGTATGAGAAGGCCGAGTGGAGTTCGCTGCATATTCAGTTTGATTCTTGTTCTTGGCACATCGATAAATTACAAGACTATGGGCTAATGCTGTTTTATTTGTGAATACGAAACCATCTTATCTTTGCACTATCCCATTTAATTGGCCCTACAAAGAGAAGGAACAGACAGATTGGTAAAATCTTGAGAATCCATAGGTACTCTTCAGCTAGTTTTGTGAGGAAGGTTAGTCTAAATCAGGAGTGGAGCATGTAGAAGGAAAGTAGGAAAAATGAGATTCTTTTAAAATACTTATTGGAAAACTTAAAGGAAGAGACTACTTGGGAGACGGGAAGATAATATTAAAATATGTTTGTGAGAAATATAGGTTGTAAAGTTCTGAACTGAACTGAAGTTGTTACGTCAGGATCAGATTGGTTGGTGTTTTGATTACGGTGAGGAACCTCGGGTGTCATAAGATCATTTATTGGCTGCCTGAGTAACAGTGAGAAAAACACTTAACCAACTAGTGAACTTGTTTGCTAGGTGGATGTAGACCTATGGCTAATTTGTTGGTTAATTAGGTCTTAACTTGTAGCCTACTTCTGAACATTCTGCATAGTGATAGAAATAACAGACAAATCATCGTAAACTCACTGGGTTTTTTTATCTGGAAAGGCTTAAAGCTATTGAAATGTGGTTCAATATCGTCATCATCTGAAACTTCTTTCAGGATTTCACTTCTTCAGATGCGGTTAGAATAATTCTTTCGTGTTTGTCTTTGCAGTGCAATTTTTTTTCTGTTTATTTTTGTCGTTACAAAGAAGTTTCCGACCTTCACTCATCAGCCATGTTCAGAATCGCAGCCTCAATATGAAGTTCCTAGAGAGATGCCCCCTTCCGCCCTTCTATACCTTCACTGTAACGAGAAAGTTGTTTCGTTGTGGAACAAACGTTCCTCAGTCGCCTTCTGTCCGTCATCGAGAACCGTGTTATTTCTGTCTCCAAACCTCCTCGCGGGCGTGCAATTTGACGTGTCTTACGGGATTGCTTCAGAGAGAGACACAGTTCATTCGTCCTTCACCTACTTGCGGATCAGCATCTAGGTAAGATACCCTGAGACTTACATAACCTTTAGTAATTATAATATTGGTGTAAAGAAATTAAATTTAGTCCTTATTATTGACCGACACCTGTCAGTACATTTTGAGTCTCAGTTAACAAAAGCAAAATGATTTACACGTTTTTAGCAATATGTTCATAACAAGAGGATGTCATATCTGTCCACATGGTTCATCTCGAAAAACATTAAATGGATTATCGGTTTTGGAGGGCTGTCGGAAAAATTTAAATTTAGCGTGTGCCGGTCATTTATAAATCATACTTTATAATGAGCTCGAATTTCTCAAGCTGTCCACAGTAGACTACAGTCAAATTGTAGACATTCACGACATAAAATCTATCATCATTAAGATCTACAGCTTTCGTTTGAAACATTCTCGATATGGTGAATACTTAATTAAATACAAGGACAAATTACTTTTACTGTATGCAGTGCTGAGGTGGGATATAGGAAGACGTCACCAAATCGAGGATGAAAATTTAACTGATTCTGCCTTCTAAGTTTTAATTAATTAATAAATATTATACTGAATGTTTATGAAAGTAAGATAAATATATATGTGAAATTGTTTTTAATTGTCAGTAATGGAAAGTGAGAGTTTCCAAGAAAATTTGAAAAAGAAATAAGTTCCTTATAAAATAGACGGTAGCATGGAAAGATTTAAACGGCATAAAAAATTAAACAATTTTTGTAATAGTCTGACGAAAGTAGGTACTCTGTCAAATCGCAATGAATTTAACACAAATTCCAAATAAAACGTTCTAGAAAGTACTGATTAGGTCTACATGTACTTCCTTTCAAAAATTTCAGTCCTTGTATATGATGAGGCTATCAGGAATTATAAATTAATGTATTTTCAACTCAGCGTTCCATTTCTGTGTAAAATGTTTAGAAATACAAATTCTAGCTACGTAAGTAAGAGTTTTGACTGTCGTCTCCGCAGGAAAAAGGCACGCCTATGGTTTGTTTCCATGCGGAATTTTACATGCCTGACTCCAGTGATTCGCTACTTACAGCCATGAACCTGAAAGCTAAATGTAGATTTTGTGCGGTCGCCTTTGTATCACTTTACTTTCTAAGATAAATAAAATAAATTCCATTGATAAAAGTTGCATATTTTTCGAATGTCTATCACATTCTACTACATTTTATGTTGAAATAAACCTGAGTACTTTCGCTGGTGTTACAGGCTGCTGTGCATCTAACTGTATGAATTGTCAGTATTAGCGTAAGAATTCTAATGTACTGCATATTATAACCATTCATTTTATTTATATAACTTTTATTCGAAACATTTTCGCGTTGATAAAACTACGTTTATATTCCGATTTTTATGAAATTTGGGATGTGTCTACAAATATTAGCAGAACTACAGAATACAGAGTTTCGTTAAAATCGTTCCGCGGTCGTCTAATTGCTACATTCGGAAAAACGAACGGACAGCCATTTCGATGTTAATAGACGTAATTATGCAGCATTTTGTAGCGAACGCGCCTAAAAATGAGTCCTTTATTCGGGAGTGTTGGTGCGTTGAGCCTACAGGTCCATGTCCAGAGAACAATTTGCCTTGTATTTAACTTTGCCATCAGTAGCTACTTTCCATATCCTTTCCAATTCATTATTCACTATCCTCTCATTCGACGCTATATAGTCTGAGCTACTAAAAAGCGTCGTTAAATAAACAAATAAATATTGGCTGAATAACGTTGAATTATAAGGTTGGTAAGGTAGAAAGGCTGCGGAAGTCAGCAGTCGTTGCCTTTTTTAAGGTAGGCCTCTATTAACCTGCATTTGCCTGGAAGGACAGAGGAAAAGCACGAAAACTTGTCAGGATTTTAATTTGGGAACTTCCGAATACGAAATAGAAATGAGAGATAATAATTAAAACGGCAAAAAGGAAAGGAATAACCGCAAGCTAGAGAAAGGAACTCAGTCGAAAGAAATGTTTTGAAGACAATCTCTAGTTGACCGCAAAGAATATCAGGAGGTGATGTTACTGTTCTCGGTTTTCTGAAGATTAAGACAGTTCCTACAAAACGGTGGCATCTACCGACAAGTCTGCATGACGCCAAGACCCAGATCATCATTCTCGCTGCCTTGAAACCTCAGTCTCACAATATCAGGATAAATTGCGTGAAGTAATTCTCCGGTTGTCACAGAACACGCAACTGACGAAGAGGTGCATTCTTTATAGGCCTCCACAGATCTGCAGGCGACAGAGATCTCAAACGACCGCTTATGATATGGAACGAGACGTTAATGTATTTCGGAACGTGTCAAGATCTGTTCGTGCCTTGCAAGGAAGAATGAGGAGGAGAATATCAAAGTGAAAGTGTGAAACATTCGCCCAGAAAGAAACATAAAATTCCAAAGTTCATCTGCAAACACGTCCCATCAGATCATCTCGCATTCTAATAGAAATGTTGTATTACGAACTACCGATGATGACGTCTTTATGTGCGACTGACTCCAGAGCAGAGA